ACGTGGATTAACGGAGCGCCGAAGAGCGAAACACATTACAGTCAACTTCGCTACTAACGACAGCGGATATAACGACAATTCGTGAATAACGACAGAATTTCCATGCCCAGAGCAAAGTCCCATCTACTGTAAATGGTGAAATTATTGCGATGGTCTAATTTCTGCGAAACTCGCGACCGCGTGGAAATCGCGAAATTTAGACAGCGCGAAAAGGAGATCCATGAAAGGTTTAGCAAGAATGCCACAGGTTTAGCAAGAATGCCATTCTGCAATCGCAAAATTAAAACCTCGCAAACCTGTCCGGATTCTGAAAACGCGAACGCCATGCTGTGGGGATGCTGAAAAGCTGCAGGCGTATAGCGTTAATGTTTTGCAGGGAGCAGGCATGGAGTTGCGGAAGTGGCGAGGGAACACGATGACCTCAGACCCCGAGGCTGGTTCCAAGGCACTGGGTATTGTGTGGAACACCGAGTCAGATTGTATTTCGGTGGCTGCGCTCGGTGATGTTGAGTGTCCCAAGGAAGTGTCTGGTTGGTCTCGTCGTGCTTTGTTGCGTTGTGTTGCCGCTGTGTTCGATCCGCTAGGTTGGGCGTCACCCGCAGTTGTGCCAGGCAAGATGATGTTGCAAGAGAGTTGGAAGCTCAGCGGTGGTTGGGATGACCCATTCCCTATTGATTTGGCTGTCCGATGTGCTTCATGGTGGGGAGAGCTCGCAGCGCTTTCTTCCGTTAAAATCCCCAGATGGATCGGGTGTACTCCGGATGCTCCAGTCACGTTGCATGTATTCTCAGATGCATCCGAGAAGGGCTATGGCTGTTGTTTCTATGTTGAGTCCGGTTTGACGTCTTCTTTGTTGTGTGCGAAGGCGAAGGTTGCACCTGTTGTATGTCCCACTCTTGCGCGTCTGGAATTGTCGGCTGTGTGTCTTGGCGTGAAGATGTTGTCCTTTGTCGTCACTGAATTGAGAGTGCCAATTGAAAGGATTGTGGGGTGGACAGACAGCCTAACCACATGGCACTGGATCTCAAGGCCGTCGTATCACTGGAAGACGTATGTTGCTAATCGAGTGGCTGCAGTGCAAGAAGTTTCGCAGAAGCTGCAAGTAGAATGGCGTCACTGTCCAGGAGTTAGCAACCCTGCAGATCTTGTCTCGCGTGGTGTCCCAGTGTGTGACTTGCAGAAGGAGATGTGGCTGCATGTGTTGTAACTCGCTTTTCTCCACCTGCTCCCAGTCCCGTGCCATCTCCACACTTATACAAAGGGACGACGATAACTACATTTAGAAGACTGTTTATTGACACGACGAAGAAACACAACTAGACATGACAAATTCAAGACGAAGACAGCTTGAACTCTCAAGACGAAGACATCATGAACTCGAGACGAAGACTGCTTTTTACACCACAGCAACACGCGCATGCACCAACATGACGTACACACGACGTACACAAAATAACGTACTACAACATAACTCCCTCCCAAGAGTAGAATCGTCCTCGATTCTAATAATAAAACAGAGGAAAAAGAGGAAAAGATCACACAAATCACTCAATCATACTACACCCGTCACACCCAGAAATAAAATACCTCTGCCTGCACTGCAGATTACAAAAACTCTGTGCGCCCACCCAGAACACCAGCCACGATCGCTGTCACACGTGTAGGAACTGATAACCTCAAAAACTCTAAACTATTTCACTCAACACACCACCTTACGATCACGCAAAAATTCTAAAATGTGAGAGCACAAATCATAGGAATAACAAAAAGAACAAAATCCACTGGCTCTGTGGGGGCCTCTAGTTATCCTCATAGAAGAGCAAATAAAAAAACAAACAGAACACACGCGCTGTGCGGGCGCCTCTTTACCCTCGAGGAGAGCAAATAATAAAGAACAAAATGTTGGGAGAACAGAAAATACACAACTCACATACTCATCACGTTCACAACAACACACGTACCCTCTCACCAACGAAACTCCTCGCGCCGTCTGCCATGTCGTCCGCCATCTCAAAGCGCTGCTCAGCGTCCACATCCTCACACTGCAGCCTTCACCTTCCATCCTTCTTTTTTTCTGTTTCAGTTTTTCTTCTGGGCACAGTTTTACGTCGTGTCCGGGACCACCAGTGACGACGACTGCCAAGAGACGGGAGAGACGAATGATGAAGGACGAGGACGACGGACGAACTTCTTCAAGACGGACAAAACTGTGACGATAGGACGACTGGAGATGACATCGGAAACTGGGAGAGAAGGCCACGCAGGACGAATCCAGAAGTTGACGTTTACAAATTTCTATCACCGCTGCCACCAATGTTGTACCTGCTCCCAGTCCCGTGCCATCTCCACACTTGTACAAAGGGGACGACGATAACTACATTTAGAAGACTGTTTATTGACACGACGACGAAACACTGCAGGCAGAGGTATTATTAATTTCCAGTCTCTCCGGAGGCGTGGGTTCGAATCCCACCGCTGCCACCAATGTTGTAACTCGCTTTTCTCTACCTGCTCCCAGTCCCGTGCCATCTCCACACTTATACAAAGGGACGACGATAACTACATTTAGAAGACTGTTTATTGACACGACGACGAAACACAACTAGACATGACGAACTCAAGACGAAGACATGATGAACTCAAGACGAAGACACTTTTCATACCACAGCAACACGCGCATGCACCAACATGACGTACACACGACGTACACAAAATAACGTACTACAACAGTCGTACCACTTTTCGTCCAGGATGGTCCACCCAATTCATCCGAAAAAGCAATAAAAAAATTCAAGGATCTTCGGACTTGTACAAAACATCGCAACTGTTAGTAGTGTTACTTTCATTGCAAGGAGCATACAGACTTGATGCCTAGCACTAGTAGCTAGCTATTGCCCAAGACTCCAGGCGGCTATCCATTACGATAGGCGGTTGGAGTCACGGTTAGAGACAACCAGACGATGGATTCCTCACGGACGCATTCACTGCAAACTTGACGGAAACAGAGCTGAGCTGGCGGCGATCACTGGGTCCAGAACTAAAATTTTCCAAGATCTACCATGTTACAATGGCGATCAGTACGTCAAGAGACACTACATGTATGTCACTTGTCAGCTACAACATAATAATTATATTCTTTCCACAACGACACCTACCTAGTACCTTTGGCTCCTGACGATCTACTGCAAGCGGATTCGAAAATGCATTACACCCTCGAACGCAGCGCTTGTCAACGGAAAAGGGAAGCGCTTCATTCTCCGAAGCTGAAAAGTGTTTGGACTGCTGCTCCACGGCGGCAGAATATTCTGCAGCTATTCACCGACACGACCCGCTTCACCTATATTATAACGATTTACGATCGTTTCGTTCCCCGAGTTTTCTGGTAGCAGCAACAAGAATTTCGTCCGCGACGACAGGACGAAAGTCTCTCGCAAACTAAAGTCCTGTTGCCACGAAGACAGAGAAGATTCCGCAAGCGCTTTCTTCTGCTTCCATTGTTGTAGCTCTCCGGTCCACTGGCAGATCTTTCAATCCCACCGAACAAAAACAAAGGACCTTCTTCTCTCTCTAAAAACAACTAAAATAATTACTTCGCGACTGTCCAGGCCGGACGTGTACATAGTGTGCGCGACGCGGCAGACTTTTGCAGGACACGACATACGTTTTTGCATAGCCGCTGGCGCTAGAACGCGCAGCACGCTTGTACTTCGGATTTTTCGATTTTTCGAGGGCAATGGCCCTGAATCATTGAATGGGTTCCATTTGCCTTGCTTGGCTACCTACGATGTACAGAAAATACCAAAAATCCATGAGAAGTATGTTTTTGGAGCTGGAGTGGGGTTGTCTAATAAGTGCTAGGGGAACCCTCCTTTGCGGCTGTAGAGTGCTAAAACGTGGCCTGTTAGCCGAAAAATCCTTATTTTTTTCTCCGGGGGACACCCCCGACCCCCCGTCGTACCACTCCCACCAACCCTGTGACGCCCCTGGTCCTCAACCACTCCAACTGTACACACCCCACACACACATACACGCACACACAATCATGTAGAGATCTTGACTGTGTACATTTGCCCTCTCCCACGTTTAGTCTTCACGGTGTACATTTACTTCTGCCCCCACCCCCACCATTTAGGAGACTTGATTGTGCATTGTTGACCCCCGCCCACCCAGGTTTTGGAGTCTTGACTGTGTACTTTGCCCCACCCCCCCCCCCCCCCCCCACCTCGTTTCTGAATCTTGACTGTACTTTTTGGGGTGGTGTGGGTGGGGGGGGGATGGGGTGGGGGGGGGGGGCAAAAATACACTATCAAGACTTATGAAGAAGGGAGGGGGGGGGACTTTTAAAGTCAAGACTACGAGCTCGTACTAAATGTGGGGGGGGGGGGGCAAAAGCACACTGTGACAACTTATAAACGTGAGTGTATTGGGGGGGGGGGGGGGGCAAAGTACACAGTCAAGACTCCTGAATGTGGGCGGTGTAGATATCGTACCAGCAGTTGTATGTAGTACTATGTACGCACGTGCAGGCATGCACGTGCTTGTACCGCTTTATGTATAGCACGAGAGAGATGACATGGCGCACTTCTGATAGAGAACTAAAGAAGATCTGTTTAGCACAATGGCTGTCTTGTGAGTGACTGAATAGATGTCTACATTGGCGCAGTGAACAAAAATGACAAAGGGCAGGATGCCCAAGGAATTTATTCCTGACTATGCTGCGAGCAACGTCGGTGTTGATTTTGAACTCTGGCTAGAGGACATAAATGATTTCCTTTCAATCAGTGAAGTGACGGCAGCAGCTGACAAGAAACGCTTGTTCTTGAATCTGGCTGGATTACCAGTGAGGCACTTTGTGAAAGGTCTGGTTGTCACGGTGCAGCAGACATAAGATGGCTCACCTGGAGATGAGTACCAAGCCTTGACGGATGCATTGTTGGCACACTTTTCGACCGTCAACAAATGTCACGTCTGAACGTCACAAATTCCGCCAACTCCGCCAAATGGAGGGCGAGTCGGTGACTTCGTTCGTTGGGCGGCTGAGAGAAAAGGCAGATGTTTGCGAATTCAGCTCCACTTCTGTGGATACCGTTGTCAACTGTCAAATTCGAGACCAGCTGATCGTGGGCCTGCGTTCTGTTGAGCTTCGAAAGGAGCTGCTGAAACAGTCGAAGCTGACCCTGAACGACGCCGTCACCAAGTCAGTGGCGTTGGAAGCTTCGATTACTGACAGTAAACTGTACGATAGTACCAGAGCTAGTGATGCACCGCCTGTGTTCCCCGTGCCCATCCAGCGTGTGCAAGCTGTCTCTGCAGCTGGTTCTGAATCAGAGGGAAAGAAGTGCAAATACTGCGGACGTAGTCACAACCCAGGCATGCGTCACTGTCCTGCGGCCAACGTCACCTGCAACAAGTGTGGCAAGCGAGGGCATTTTGCAGCGGTCTGAATGTCAAACAAAGTGGAAAGACACGAAGAAAGAGCCCGGCCAGTAGAGGATGAGCCTGATGAGTATGAGCATGCAAGTCGCATGTATGACTCCGCTTTCGCCGTCAGTAGCTCGGCACTCGCAGGCGACAAGACATTCCTGACTACACTCAAAGTCAATGGTGAGCTGTGCACTGGACTGTTAGACACAGGTGCAACTCGGACGATCCTCACTGATGATGTGATCAAGCCCACGTGCAAGAGTGACCGCTTGCTGAAAGCGTACAATGGCGGTGTCGTAGAGACTTTGGGCACGGCTGACGTCCACATTTCACATGGTGGCAAGAACGTGAAGTGCAGTTGTTTCATGGTAGCAGCCAGTCAGCACTCCGTTCTCTTGTGACAGGATGTCATCAAGGAGCTGAACCTCCTGTCACAAGCAAACGTGGTGAACGTGTCACCCATCAAAATCTCTCTGGAAGACGGTTCAAAGCCTCTAGCCCAGCCACCACGACGCCCAGCTTTCAGTATCCGGGCTGACATCGAGACCGAGCTGAAACGGCTGACCAAGTTGGATATCATTGAACCCGTCAAGGAAGCCACGTCGTGGGTGTCACCACTTGTTCCAGTCCGCAAACCGAATGGAGCATTGCGACTATGCGTGGACTACAGAGAACTGAATAAGAGAGTTACACGTGAGCGCAACGTTCTTCCAACCGTTGACGAGATCACAGCTCAACTTGATGGCGCAGGGGTCCTCTCAGTTCTGGATGCGGAATCTGGATTCCATCAGCTACTCTTGTCAGAAGAAGCAAGGCCTCTAACGACTTTCTCATCGCACTGTGGCCTGTTCCGTTTCAAGCGTTTACCTTTCGGTATTGCATGTGCGCCTGAGATTTTCCAGCGAGTGGTGTCCGACATTCTGGAAGTCCTGCCAGGAGTCATCGTCTACATCGACGACATCCTAGTGTTTGGCACCAATCAAGCAGAACACGATACATGGCTAGAAGCAGTCAAGCAGCGACTGCGAGCAGCTAACCTCCAACTCAACTGGACCAAGTGCCGACTGAACCAGGATCGTGTGAAGTATCTGGGACATTGGCTAAGTGCGACCGGCTTGTCCCCAGATGATGACAAGTTACAAGCCATCCAGGAGCTGGCCCCTCCGGAATCTATCTCTGATGTGCGACGGTTCCTGGGGATGGCTACGTACCTTGGAAAGTTCATTCCGAACTTGGCCCAGATCACGGCTTCTCAGCGCAGGCTAGCAAAGCGTGATCCCTTCAGTGTGGATGATGAAGTCCTGCAGGCATTCACCTAAGCAAAGGCTGGTATAGCGTCAGCTTTGCAAGCGTTGGCATTCTTTCAACCAGCATTGGACGTCCCTACTGCTATCAACTGTGATGCATCGCCAGACGGTTTGGGAGCAGTTGCGAAAAAGGCGCTGACGCCTGTTGGGAATTCCCTAGTAAAAGAAGAATAAATAATAATAATGCGACGTGGAGACAATAATCTTAATAATGCAATGAATATAACTAAATGCGCACTCATATCACAACCATGGGGACGAATCATGTATTCCAGAACGTTTTCTTGTCACAATTATCAATGGAATTCGTGACTAAAGAGAATGATGAAACTACAATAGGATTTATACACTTGCAGTGGAACAGCGAGGATACAAGCATAGTAAGAAAAATAGCACAAACCTAGGAACAATTTGCACAGGTAATAAACTATAGGTGAGGTGAGAAATGATAGGAAATTCAGCAAGTGCAGTGTGACAATTCATTGCAATATTAAAATAATAATAATAATAATAATATTAACTGGTTTGAGGGAAAGAGACAAACGGGAAAAGTCTGAAGAAAAAATTGACTGTCACCACCAGGACTCGAACCAGGGACCCTCGCTTGTAGCCAGCGATGCTCTAACCACTGAGCTATGGTGTAGTCGTCATCCCAGCAGAGGCGGTTCAACATTTTCCTCAGACTTCGTATAATAATAATAATAATAATAATAATAAAGTCCTGTGGCAGAAGAATACCAGTGGCTGTTGGGTACCAGTGACATGTGCCAGTCGCTCTCTTTCAGATGTTGAGTCACGCTATTCTCAGCTGGAACGAGAGATGCTGGGAGTGGTATTCGGCCTGACTCGCTTTCGGCAGTATGTACTAGGCCGAGAAGTGCAAGTGTTTACGGATCACAAGCCGCTTATTTCTATCGTCCAGAAGCCGTTCGACGAAGTGCCACCGAGGCTTCAGAGATGGCTGTTCGCATTGATGCCCTGTCGCTACAGCTTGGTGTTCGTCCCTGGTCAGCAGATGGTTTGTGCTGACACCCTCTCTCGAGCTCCTCTACCTGATCGTACAGCTTCACCTGCAGAGGCACGTTCAATGGCGGAATTCGTTAGTCTCATTATTGAGGCTTGTCCGGTTCGTTCCAAGGATATTCGCCAGGCCACGGACTCTGAACCGACACTGAGCAGCGTCCGATAAAGAGTGGGCACATCAGTTTGGTCAGGGTGCATCCAAACGGAAGAGCCTTACTTCCTACTACGCCATCAGCTGACAGTCATTGACGGGATTGTCATGCTAGACAATCGCTACGTCATTCCAGAAGAGCTCCGCCCAGCGGTGCTGCGACTAGCACATGAAGGTCATCCAGGCATCGATGCATTCCGGGTTACCCTTCGCGAACGGGTTTGGTGGCCAGGTCTCATGAAGGATGCCAATCTGTTTGCAGAGAAATGCTATGAATGCTGGCGTAAACGCTCCAATCCAGCGCAACAGCTCCTCCCTACAGAGATATAAGGTGTCTGGCAGAAACTGGTCATTAATCTTGTTACCATTGAGGGAGCCACGTTCCTGTCTGCTATTGATTATGGTTCCCGCTTGCCAGAGCTTCTACCACTGACCAATACTACGACAACGGGTGTGATCGACAAGCTATGGAGTTGTTCGCACGGTTTGGTCTGCCTTCAACACTCGTCTCGGATTGGGGCCCACAGTTTGCATCCACGGAGATGTCCAAGTTTCTCGCTCAGTTGGGTGTTGAGCATTGCAAGTCTATAGCCCCCGGTATGCCCGCTCTAACGGTATGGTGGAGCGACTACATCGTCTGGTGAAAGAACGAGTTGCCAGTCTGAGACCTCATCTACCGCTACACCGCCGCATCACTCAAGTCTTGTTCGACATTCGCAATTCGCGGCACCGGATGCTAGGTACATCGCCGAGCGAAGCGTTGTTCAGCAGAGTCATTCGGACACGGGTTCCAGCATCCATCCCCCCACAGATAGTCAACCCATCTGATCAGATCAAGGCGAAAGCAGCAATGGTTGAAGGTCATGACTCGCGCCGAGGTGTCCGCAAGTTATCCCATTTGCCATCAGGTACGCGAGTAGTGCTCCATGATGGGTATAGCGACCCTCGAAAAGAATGGAAGGTAGTAGAGCAGTATGGTCGTCAGGTTGGGGTCACTGATGGGTCACGCATACTGCTCCGGAACCGTCAGCATGTCACCTAGTTTGTAGCACCAGCAGCAGCAGCAGCAGCGGAGAAAGCACCCATGAGTGAACCTCCAGCACAGTCAGAGAGGGAGCATGTGCCAGAGCCAGGGTGTGCTCCAGCACGGCCAGTGTCCGACCCAACAAGCCTTCCGTCAGCGAGCAGCGCAACATCCAGGCCCGAAGCTCCGGTAACTGCGCTCACATTGCCGTTGTCTCCTGCAGCTTCACCTGAGACGACAGCACCACCTGCAACACCGGCCTGTATGTCACTGTCACCGCCAACATCTCGTCCAAGTGTATTCCGCGAGGGCGTACAGACCAGAGCTGGCCGTCAGATCAAGCTTACAGAGAAAGCACCTGAAGCTGACATCTGAGTCGCCGGGTCATGCATTACCAAATGAGTGGCTTCAATCGCTACCAGATTGGCGTTGTTTAGAATCTTCTAACTACCTTGTGAATATTTAGATGTTTTCTTTATTTTTTCCCCTTATTGGTCGAGTTTGCATTGTAACTCAAACTCATGGTGTTTTGCCTCAAGTTTGAGTCAGATTGTTTCTAATAGTTGCAACACTTCCCGTCTCTCTTTTACTCCAACACATGTACATACATTCCTCTGCAAGCTGCAGGATACGGATGCAAGTGTTTTTGTTTTCCTTTTTTCTCTTTCTTCTTTTTTTTCTTTTTGAGGGAAGGGGGGATAGATATCGTACATGCAGTTGTATGTAGTACTATGTACGCACGTGCAGACATGCCGTGCTTGTACCGCTTTATGTATAGCACGAGAGAGATGACATGGCGCACTTCTGATAGAGAACTAGAGAAGATCTGTTTAGCACAATGGCTGTCTTGTGAGTGACTGAATAGATGTCTACAGGCGGGGGGGGGGGGGGGGGGGGACTACACAGTCAAGACTCCGAAATGTGCTTGGGGAAAAAGTACACACTCGAGACATCATAAGGTTGGGGAGGGGGGGGGGGAGGACACAGTCAAGAATCCTAAAAAAAGAATTCTTGGCTGTCTACTTTCCCCCTCCACACACACAATCTTGAATGTCTACTTTTGCACCCGCCCTCCCCTCCACTCTCCCCCTCCAACTCCCCTCCACCCCACCCCCCCCCCCCCCCCCACCCTCCCACACACACACACTTCCCCACGTTAACGCTAAAGAATCGTACTGCCGATGTCGGAACATCTTAGTTTCAAATCTTTATTCTCGCAATGGCCTGTGGCCAATAAGGGATAATTCCCGTAGCTATGCAGAAGACGTTACTTCAGTAACGTCTGGAGCTAGCCAGGGTCCACGCAGCTTTAATTTGGTATTTGTGTGTTTGTTTGTGTGTTTGTGTCACGCCTGGCGGTATCCCGTATCTGTCCCGTACCGTACCGTACCATCACACAGCTGGCCACATACAGCTGGCCGCAATATTCAAATAGGGCTTTCAAACGCAAGATCATAACGTGAAGCATCTTGGAAGAATGGGTATGAATGCGAAGTGTATGGGGGAATGCATGTA